GTCCCCTCGTGGGCTGCCTGCGGCGTCCACCTGACACCGCTCAGAGGGTGCGTTTCCCGCCGCGCTGCCGGGGTAGTTTCGGCTGATGCGATTTCCACGCCTCCGTCCCCGTGCCTTTGCCGTTAGTTCCAGCGGTGCTCGGAAGAGACTCCCCATCTCCCCCGCCCGAGCCCCTCGGGGTGCTGCTGACCCCCTCCAGTAGGATGGGAGGCACGGAGGGGGGCTGGGACGGATCCGTCCCTGGCGGGAATCACAGCAGCTTGCTGGCTTCATTCGGGGCTGCCTGACCCCAGCTGGTGGCTGTGTGATACGTGAGATCGGGTTTTGGTGGTTAAGAGACTTTTGAGACCAGCAGGTGTAAATGGCCGTGGTTGTTTCACTGGAGCACCTGATCCTGTAAGCTGTGTGCAGAAGTGCCCTAGCAGCAGAAGTCTGAGCAGGCTGTGTTTCACCTCTGAAGCTTTTGGTTCAGCTGTGACAAGAGACTAATCCTCATCTGGTGGATGGAGGAGCATCTTGGAGATGGATTCGTGGGGCGGGGAGTTTTCATTCCTTGTTTTGCCATGGTGTGCTCCCGGGGCAAGCTGACTGATTATGTTTTTCCCCCTGTGTTTCAGTGCCCTGCAGAGGGGAAGAGGGGTCCTGCAAAAGTCCCTCCTAGGAGCCGAAGCATGGCACTGTCCCTCTGCCTTGTGAGCTTGTTAAGTGAATAAATCCTGGGGATGCTAAGTGTTCAGATGGGGCTCCTGCGGGAGAATTTATAAAGTCATTAAAAACATTTTAATGGAAAGTACTAACCATCTATAACACAGCATCTGTCACCGTGTCTTTGGAAAAACGCATCTAAATTAAGGGGATGGGAGACAGTGAGACAGACTGGTGGGCTTTCTGCTGAAGCAACCAGCTGGCCAGGGCTACGAGGGAATATTCATGGAAACTCCTTCCCATCTGTAGCCTCAGGCCAGGTCCTGGCTCCCTGGACTGCTCTGGGAGCGCCAGGCAGAGACAGCTGTGGCAGGGATCAGTGCAGGGAGGGAAGAGAGGAGCAGCTCTATTGTGTTTCTGTCTCATCCGAGTGTGAAGACATGAGGGAGGGTTCATGGGGAAAGCGTGGAGGAACATCTGCAAGAAGCTTTGGTATCCCTGCACTTACACAGTCCAGCCTGGAGAGGAGGGAATGTCCTCTGCTATTAAAACGGGGTGAAACGGGCAGGGCAGCAAAGGCAGATAAGCTCAAGCTGGTCCCGCATGGCACCAGCATCCTCACTTTTCTGCTGGGGTGTTTTCAGCCCTGATGGATGACGACGGTCAATAGCTTTGATGTGAGAATGAGTGTCAGAGAGGAAAAAGTCACACGCAAAGATGATGGGCTTCTGGTATGGCATGGTTCTCCAGTCCTCTTCTTCTGACCTCTCCCCACGGCACAATCTGTAGGGCTGCTGCAGCAGGATTTGTAAAGTCATTAAGAACATTTTCATTGAAAACACTAAACACCTATATCGCAGCATCTGCTGTCGTGACTCTGGCAAAGCCCATCTCCATTCTGAGACTTGAGGGCAGCCAGGCCGGCTGGTGGGCTTTCTGCTGCAGCAGCCAGCTGGCCGGCAACCTCTTTGGCCAAGAGCCATGCTTCCGCTCTGGTGCTGCCTGAGGGGGTTATTTTGCAGCTCATTTTCCTCCTTGGAGCAGCTGCAGGACATCCTCCGGCCACCCGGCACCTGTGTCGGAAGGGGGGGACATGGGCGCCCCTACCCTGTGAGCAGGCATGCTGGGACTGCTGTGGGCATCGTGGCAGGCCTGTTGCAGGCACCGTTTCTGCTGTTTGCCTTTCAGCCCAGTCTGGAGGCCACTGGCTGCTTCCAGGGTCTCTCTCTGATTCTCCATGGGCACGGCAAATAGCCAGCCTGGTCCTTACAGCCACGTGTATGATCCGAGGGGCAAACAGTCACAGTTTGTGCTTTCAAGTTGCTGCTCTTCCTCCTCCCTGAGAGATGGAAGGGAGCGAGCAGCTGTGGGGACCCTGCAGAGAGGGAACCCGCACCCTGGCCCTGAGCCAGGCCTCGAGCCCTTGGGCTGTGGTTTTGGCAGAGTGAAGTCTCCTGGATGCCAGCTGCGCTGGCGGGCTCAGCAGAGGA